TTCGGGTGTCAGGGAGGGGGGGGGGGGGGGGGGTGAATTGTTCCTGCTTAACCGTTTATCTTTTCTTGCCTCCATCCAAATCTTTTCTTCTCTGTACTTCTCCCTCATTCTCCTTTTAGTGTGCTATAATCTCATACAATGAGCTTATCTGTACCCAATGAGATAGTCAATGCCTTTCTCTCTTCCAAAAACAGCTTGACCGGTCACGCTGGAGCCGCCACACTTCATTAACTACCACAGTTTGCCTTGCTGTGTGTGTGTGTGTGTGTGTGTGTGTGTGAAGGCAGAGAAAGGCAGACAGGTTGAAACAGCTTAAATCTTTGATCTTTTGCTTGCTTTCTCTCAGCACATATAAACCATCAGATTTGAGCATGTCTGAGTGATTTAGATCTTCAGTGTTATCTGTGACCTCTGATCCTAATTCAGCTCCATTTGAATCTCATACACATTGAGAGAGTGAGACAAACGTTCAGACTCCTGTCAGCATGGAGTCACTGGCAATTTCAACCATTTTTTCTCGTAGTTTCAGAAGGGGCAGTGGGGAGGGTGGGGATTGTTCCTGCTTAACCGTTTATCTTTTCTTGCCTCCATCCAAATCTTTTCTTCTCTGTACTTCTCCCTCATTCTCCTTTTAGTGTGCTGTAATCTCATACAATGAGCTTATCTGTACCCAATGAGATAGTCAATGCCTTTCTCTCTTCCAAAACAGCTTGACCGGTCACGCTGGAGCCGCCACACTTCATTAACTACCACAGTTTGCCTTGCTGTGTGTGTGTGTGTGTGTGTGTGTGTGTGTGTGTGAAGGCAGAGAAAGGCAGACAGGTTGAAACAGCTTATATCTTTGATCTTTTGCTTGCTTTCTCTGTATTTCTCAGCACATCAGTTTTGTTAGAGAGGATGTGTTTAAATGCAGAGCTTTATTATCAGAGGTGACGATTCAAAACAACAGCATCTTTGATTTGACAGTTGGCAGGAAGCAATGTATTATTAATATTTGAATCCCTTTAGTGTTCAACCTATTTGTCTGGGTCCTGCTGTTGTGCTGTACAGAGTACTGAGTCATATATTCCATTATAAATATATAGGAAACTTCTACATTAACATTAATGTCCATAAAATCCATAATCCACCACATGAAATGAGGAACCACCACTGGTGTTATTATCAGTATTAATGTGTTCACCCGGAGGTCTACTTATAATGTTCTATAAGATTTTCTGCTACAAAATTTTCATAATTTGGATATTCATGAACATTGTTCTCACTGTCTCTGAAACTTCTCTAAATTAAAGAGGCTGTTTTGTGCTGTTGTACCTTTAAAATCTATATGTAAATTTCCTCTATGAAATGTGCTGTATAAAAGACATATAAAAGGGAATGGTCTGTTAATATATATTAATATGTTTAACGAGAGTAAGTAGATTTTGTTTCTGAATTAATTCTTTGAACAAAACAGCTGACTAAATAATTAAATGACTCACTCATATAGACACTCACTTGTTTTGTTCCTGAATGAATCAGTGTGTTTAAACGAATTTGCTGTGAATCACTTTGTTTGAATGATTCGCTTAATTAAATAACTCACTGACTCAATCATAAAGACAGTCGCTTGTTTCCACATACTGGTGTAGCGATGCAACCTGCAGAAGAAGTTGCAAAGCTCCCACCACAAATGCACAGACTGTCAGTCTGTCTGGAACAAACACAGATACAGTGAAAAGTCCTAGTGCTGCTGGACTGTGTATTAGCACTCAAATCGAATCTGAAGACCAGAATAAACCTTTTGACTTCTGAAACTTACAGTATATTTTTTAAAGTAATTTAAACTCTTTTGGCTTCAGACTATGAAGGAGAATTCGGTTTCTTATGACCCTATTAAAGAGTCAAAAAGTGCTGAAAGATATTCACTCTTCAGACAGATTTCAGATCAGCTCCACAGATTGTGCCATCAGTCAGGACAAGATTGGGTTACAGCAGAGTATTTCTTATCTTCATGAGGAGACCTTGATACCTTGAGCAAGAGGGCTATTAAGTCCGATAAGGACAAGTAAGAATGTGCGGGTGGGGATACAGTGGCCTATAGAGTATTTTTTCAAACAGATTGCATTCTTTTATGTGAGGCTGACAGCAGGGAGAAAATTTGGGATAATGCTGAAGAGCTTGGAGACCACAATGGTGGAAAGAGATGGCAGGTGGCTGAAGGTTACAACAAAGAAAGGAAATGGAGTTAACAGATTTTAAAGTGCCCTCAAAACAATCAGTGGAGTCAAAAAGAGTGAGTGAAGACGTTGTGTATGGGAACGTCTGAGAAAACTGAGGGCATAAATTTGCTCCCAGGCAGATGGTGTCATACAGGGATACTGCTTTCCGGAGATTGCATGGACATGGCATGTTAGGGAATCAAAAATAGAGATACGCCCTCCTCAGCTGTTTGTTCATCACTAAATTTGTCTATCAAGCCGTCTGTATAGTTTAGGGCAGATTGATTGTGTGTGTGAGTCTGAACTCTCTCTATTTCATTTCATTTGACCCTTTATTTAACCAGGCAAGTCATTAAGAATAGGTTCTTGTTTACAATAACAGCTCTGACTTTCAGTTCCCACTTATTTTCTTTCATTGCGGTAATTGTCATTGTGGTAAATTATGGTTTCCAAGTCAACTTTGGCTGGTTCCCACATGCTGACAAATGACCACAAGCAACATGCCCCATCTGGTTACATTTGAGTGAATCAGAGACATATTTTGGGGCTTTATATTGATTTTTGAAGACCCCAAGTAATACCTGGAGGGATCTCAACAACAGTTGTTCAGCTAACACAGAACTCCCTGAAAGTTCATGATCTAAAATCTGCCATCATTGGGCATGGAAACTATGAAAGCCTTTGAGGCAAACACCTGAGACATAAAAGCCATCTGACTTTTATATCATATATATACAGTATATGTGTGTGTGTGTGTGTGTGTGTGTGTGTGTGTGTGTGTGTGAGTGTGAGTGTATGTATTTCACTATTTATTTTGGAAGTCATCATCTAATTCTACAGGATTTCCAGGAGACGTTTTACATTCTTTAACAGTCTGTCTTGAAACAAAGCTGATGTGATGCCAAATCCCCTTATAGAGGAAAAACATCTATTGTGTTTAAAACTGTGACAATGAGCAATTATCAACTAAATGCTGGATTTTCAAAAGTATGTGAATTTCGCAGCGCCATTGTTGCGGTAAACTTGAACAATGTTCTTGAATGAATAATTTATTTCGATTAATTTGTCTTTTATCATAGGGAAAATGTAAATTTTCACACCCCTTAACATCACGTGGAACAAATCGAACTGTGATTGGTTGTTTTATATGTCAGCCAGTCCTCAGCCAATGAAAGCTGCTATGGAGTCCAGACCTTCTGCTGTCAGTCTGAAGGTCTGGCTACATGAGACTAGGGCTAACTGGACCAGGCATTGTTATACTATTATAGTTTTTGTTAATATTTTATTAAGTTAAGAACTTAACTTTTGTTAAGATTTCATTTTTATATTTTCTGTTTTCATTTTAATTTAAAAATTTTGTTCTGTGTAATTTTGGTATTATTTTTTATTAGATGTTGTATTTTTTAACATGTCGATATATTTTTAGTTTAATTTTAGTATGTTTAGTTTGTTATTTTAGTTCCTAAACTAAATGAAAATGTGGTTTTGGTTTTACCGATAATACCCCTGGTGCGTCTTGACCTCTCTGACCTTTAACCTCTGGTGCGTGTTTTTCACCTTTGTGCAGGTGTGTGGTTGAAAGCCACGCGGAGCTGTCGCATGAGAGAGAAGCGGGCAGACTTCGTAGCTGGCTGTCTCGGTGGACGGGTCATCGCTGCGGGGGGACTCGGTAAGTAACTGCCGATGTTGAATAGATTATACAAATAGGATCAACTGAGCTTAGAAAACCAGGAAAGAAATCTACAAAGCACAGCGCGAAGACTGTGATTTTTCAGAACAACCTGCGGCAGAAACGGCCTCATAATAAAATGCCATATCAAGCAAATGGATTCATTATGTCAGGTCTTTATGTGCAGCCATGAGTAAGTACTGTGCACTAATGTCACCTAGCAACAAGAATCTACCTCACAGTACACCATCTGCAACAATTACAGGCCACATCTCAACAACTTTACGAACTATCCGACCTACCCTTAAGAAGTGATCGGCATAATTTGCACTGATTTTTTAGTGTGTAGTTTGATCAGCATTCCCTTCATAAGCAGAACTTAATTTTAATTGGAAAGTCAAATAATCACATTTAGCCTCATTATGAAACAATGAATATGTGGAGTTGCTCAACGACAGCCTGTTCCCTAGACTGACGTGTCTTCAAACAAAATGATTTGTTCATTTGGGTCTTTACGCTCCAGTGTAAAAGCTCTGAATATCCGTCTCAAATACTGCCTTATTTCTTTCCAGTCTGTCTGTTTGTCTGTGGCTGCATTACTAGAGGGAGAGAGAGAAATTTCTTTAATAAATGTCAGCTCAAAGAGTGGGCGAGAAATTTCAGTGTCTTCTCAAAAAACGATATTTAGGGCAGAGCGTTGCAGATTAAACATGGCACATTTTTATTTCATCTTTTCCTATGTCTAGAAATAGACAGAATTTCAGGCATCACAGCAGCCAATGGAGGATTGTGTGTGTGTGTGTGTGTGTGTGTGTGTGTGTGTGTGTGTGTGTGAGCGTCTCCATTATTCATTGCGTGAGAACATTCACATTTTAGCGTCGCACTACTTCTTCCTTCACCTGCTTGCTCTATCCTCTCTTAGTTGTTGTCACCTCTTTCTACCCCGGCCCCCCTTCATGTCTTGTCTCGGTGCACGTTGCGGGTGTGTTTTTTTCCTCCCTTCGTTTTTAGTGTCTCTGCTGTTGCTGTTCATCTTTTTATCTGGAGATTTTCTGAGCTATTTTTGTGTCTCTTTCGTAGTGCTTTAGTCTTTTTCCTCTGTTCTTTTTTTTAACAGGCACTGTTGGAAACTCAGGCCATACAGACTTATGCACACACAGAGAAATAATGACATAAGTGGAGGAGATGCTCCATTCCCTCTAGCTCCTCATGTCTTTCTAGAATTAATGGCTGCTATTAGGTCCATATTGGAGATGTGGCATTCACTATGTAGTGAATGAGTCTATGGTTTTGTGCATTCTGTGCTTGACTGAGTAAAATGCCTCAGTTGCTTAATGTTCTCTCATGTGCCTTCTGAGTTTGGCACCGTGGCAAGATGTCATGACAGACAAAATTTCAGGTTGAATTTCAGAATTTCAGACATCACAGCGGCCAATGGAGGAGTGTGTGTGTGTGTGTGTGTGTGTGTGTGTGTGTGTGTGTGTGTGTGTGAGCGTCTCCATTATTCATTGCGTGAGAACATTCACATTTTAGCGTCGCACTACTTCTTCCTTCACCTGCTTGCTCTATCCTCTCTTAGTTGTTGTCACCTCTTTCTACCCCGGCCCCCCTTCATGTCTTGTCTCGGTGCACGTTGCGGGTGTGTTTTTTTCCTCCCTTCGTTTTTAGTGTCTCTGCTGTTGCTGTTCATCTTTTTATCTGGAGATTTTCTGAGCTATTTTTGTGTCTCTTTCGTAGTGCTTTAGTCTTTTTCCTCTGTTCTTTTTTTTAACAGGCACTGTTGGAAACTCAGGCCATACAGACTTATGCACACACAGAGAAATAATGACATAAGTGGAGGAGATGCTCCATTCCCTCTAGCTCCTCATGTCTTTCTAGAATTAATGGCTGCTATTAGGTCCATATTGGAGATGTGGCATTCACTATGTAGTGAATGAGTCTATGGTTTTGTGCATTCTGTGCTTGACTGAGTAAAATGCCTCAGTTGCTTAATGTTCTCTCATGTGCCTTCTGAGTTTGGCACCGTGGCAAGATGTCATGACAGACAAAATTTCAGGTTTTTCCACCATCACTTTCCACTCTGACAAATGCTCTCAGTTGTAGCATGTGAAAGACTCTTGGCGTTGTGTTGATGTTCATGTCATTACTATAGCAACAAACATAGATACTTACATAGATATTTACAACACTGTCTGGACAAACGAATCAGAGTATGTGATAGAATCGCAGATTAATCTAACCTTTGCAAAACAGCTCCTACAAAACTGCTTTTACAAATATGTATTTGTGTGAACACCAAAGGGCCTGAGGATATGTAGCAACACGCACAAGCTCTCCACGCCAGCGCCAGAGCACAGCTCGACATGACACTTTTGATTACTGCAAGCGGATTCGCCATGGTGTTTGTTCTACCAGGAAATTATGATAACAATAGTCACTGCACCAGTCCATTCATATCATCTGCACTTCAATTTGAGTAACCATGGAAACTTAGCGGCAGGTCCCATGTGATGATGTAGGTCTCAGCGCTGAAGGTAAAAGAGTGAAAAAAACCCAGCCTAGTCTTACTGACCCCGGGGAAAATGAGAAAATGTTCGCTGTTCACTGCGACTGTAGTGTTTGTGCCAGAATTTATCAGCGAAACTTTTTTATTTATTTATTTTGCAACATCAGAGCAAAAGTTTCTCCAAGCAGAAGCCACAGAATTTGTACGAGTTACATCATTTGAAGAGATCTGCATGCTGCCACCTGTTCAAACCTGCTTTAGTCCCAAAACCCACCAGGTGGCAAGTGCTTCATCTGCAAGAAACATCCGCAATGTGTGTGTGTGCAGTGAGAGGGTGATGTGTTGATTGAATGGCTGGAGAGGCTGTGTAATGTGCAGCGCTTCCTGCACACCTGCCTGTGATATACTAAATCTGGAAATATTTTCTTTAGGTTTTGACATGTGGACTGGGACACTCGTTTATTGTATTTGACTAACTTTTCATTCTGGACAGGCACAGTTTTCTGTGTTTTTCTTTGAAAATCACAAAGTTTAGGTGGGAAATATTGAGGAGTTTATCCCCTCTTTTTTAAATAGCCAATATTTTACATCACAGCCATGGATTATGATTTGCTACTTGCTAGTTAGATGTAGGTGGTATTCACATTTTGAGAGAGCATTTGATTGGATAAAAATCTGTGTAGTACAGGATGAGTCAACCTTATTTTTAATGCATGTTTTTAAAAGAGAAATATTGTTAATTTTTAATGCGCATACCTGCAAAAAATTTTGTTTGTTTATATAATAAATATATAGTATTAGAATTATAAAAATTATTTAAAAACATATATGAAACATATTTATATTCATATACACTATTTTCTGAAATGTGCTATATGCAGAAAATCTTGACACTGATGAAATTACAAATAAAATTTGTAAAATGTTTAATTTCTGAAATTAAATAATTGGCTTTTATTATTGACATTTTACTAAAGCCATTTCCATTAGATTAGATTAGATTACATTTCTATGATATAGTATTATATATATTATATTATATTTCTATAACTACTGTATATATGAAAATATTTTGTTAAATGTTGACAATGTGTATTTTTTTTCTAATAAGAAATAAAAAAGGTGTGTGTGTGTGTGTGTAGTGATGTCAGTTTTTATGAAATGGTAGTAGAGGCTCTGCAAGGAGGAATGGCAGAGGATCTCCAAATCCAGGTGTGAAAAACTTGTTGCCTCTTTCCCAAAAAGACTCATGGCTGTATTAGATCAAAAGGGTGCTTCTACTAAATACTGAGCAAAGGGTCTGAATACTTAGGACCATGTGATATTTCAGTTTTTCTTTTTTAATAAATCTGCAAAAATGTCAACAATTCTGTGTTTTTCTGTCAATATGGGGTGCTGTGTGTACATTAATGAGGGAAAAAAATGAACTTAAATGATTTTAGCAAATGGCTGCAATATAACGAAGAGTGAAAAATGTAAGGGGGTCTGAATACTTTCCGTACCCACTGTATGTAAAAAAATGAATATAATAATAATACTATGTAAAACTTATTTAATATTGCATATTAACTTTAACAGCCATAAAAATAAATTTTATTAAAAAAATTTAAAAAACAGTGGACCCTTAAACACTCCATAGTGACCCCAGTTTGAAAACCTCTGCACTAGCATATAGATGACTTCACAGCTAGGATACATAGTCTACAGTTGTATTAAATGAAAAGGCAACATTTAAAATATTTCATGGTTAATATCAGTGTAAGCCACTGACAAATTCGAATTGTCTTGCATGTGCTACACAATTTTGAAACTTCAGTACATATCTCTGGGTTTTTGTATATTTGTGACAGTGCTTTGTTTCGTGTGCTTTCAGGTAACCAGCCATCCCCACTGGCGTCAGTGGAGAGTTATAACCAGCTGAAGAGGAGATGGGAACCCGTGGCTCCCTTACCTAGCCCTCGCTGCTCCTGTGCCTCCATTCAGACCCCCAACATGCTGTTCCTCATCGGAGGGGTGTCCCAGGGTCCCAGCAATGCCGTGGAAGCCCTCTGTTTGAAAGAGACAGTCTGACACACACATACACACACTAATGAACAACTACACAAATCCTCACATGCTGTACTTTCCGGAGTGTAAGCTCTGCAAACACACACGAGCATACTGACGTCAAGTTAACATGTATGTCTCCGACAAATATTCACAGACTTTCCCCTCAGAGGACGCATCAGCTTTATACTTTGAATAGTGGAGACAATCTACTGGCGCTTGGACAGCATTCCACACCCCTGGACAGAAGAGTTTTGGACTGGAGATCTAAGACAAGCAAAAAATATATACATTTATAATTCATCTAACTATATTAAATATAGCAATGTATTAATAAATATATTTATTAATATATATAATTATAAATATATTAGTATATATATATATATATATAGATAGATAGATAGATAGATAGATAGATAGATAGATAGATAGATGTGCAGACCTACACAGACAGGCACACGCAACACTCCAGGCGCCTTTGAACTGTACAGCATTTTTCAGTATCAAAGCAGGGTAATTTTCTGGCAAAATAAGAGGAACTTAGGGCCATATCCACAACGCTGCCACAGCACCCGTCTGAGGTAGCACGTTTAGCACTTTTTGTACGATTGACAAACAGAGGATCTTCTTCACAAGACTTCAGAAATGGGAGGCGGATGCGTGTATGTGTGTGTGTTTTTGTACTTTCACAGCCATGCACGTGTGAAATTGAGCATTGTTATGCGTGGAAAGAGCAACTCTTATAGCGGCAAATCACTGATTTCTCACTGTAGCATGAGACAGGGGAGATGGAGGAGTACATGGTTCATCTAGCTGGTTAATTAAAGGAAGGTTCTGGGTTCAAAACAGGTTTAGCTTGAAAGTAT